TGGCCAAGATTAAATACAATAAGTTGAAACAAGGGAGGATTGAAAGGAATTAGAAAATTTTCATCTAATCATGAGAGTTTTCCCTGCCTTTTTGTTTTATTTTCTTGAAAGCTTTTCCATATAGATTCCAAAAGTTTCTTTTCTTCTCTTATCTTTTTCCTTTGAACAACAGCTTTGCCTCAACTATTTTTCCTTTGTCAGGAAAAATACTCCCACTGCTTCTATTTCCTGTTGGTTAATCAGTAGAAGACAGAAGTGTGCATGCCTGAAAGCCACCAAAGTGTGAAGGCAAAGTTCGTTCTATGTAATAATACCCATCTAGCCCAATGCATCATATAAACCAAAGTTAATGTACATAATGTTCCATGAAGATACTGTATGCCGATTGTAAAAGTAGTTGTCACTTGCCTGAGTTAACAGGTTGTTTTATTTCAGTTTACAGTTTATAATGGCACAAGAATTTAGTCTAAATTGTTAGAATGGTCTTTCTACTGAACTGTTTCAGTTTAGCATTATCACCTCTTTCATTCCTACACTTACTGTGAATTTTCTTGCATGTGAATGAATATACTTCTTGTAAAGAGAGTAGAAGCACTGATGACCAAAGTTGCCTTTCAAAAGAGCATGCATAGTATGAGCATCAGTGGTGCAGATTTCTCCGTGAAACCCCTAATTCTTATTTGAAAAGATTCTCTTGACTGCTAAGCTTTTTGTCTCTGCTGTGAATCCTAACATAGTTTGAAATAGTCCAAAAATGTAAAATGTTAATAATTAACATAATTATTCCTGGAGTTATAGTTGGTTATTAGTATTAACCAACTAACTAGTTTTATATTTAAATTATGCTTTCTAATAGTTTATTGTTGGTAGTTGCTTTGTGACAATATGACAAAGTGCTTGGGTAATACAGTTCTGAACTGTGCATTAAGGAGCATTTTATTTGTGTTCAACGAAATAACAATCACTTATGAACAAGAACAGTGAAAATACTTTTACAATTAAAACAAACTGAGATTGCTTATTTTAATTGAAATAGTATGCTATCTTCAGTATTTTCTACAGATAGATAATTCCTGAAAATAATATGATTGATTAACAAGCTTCTACTCAGGCTTGCTTTCCCAAGCAGACTTACTGATAAATTCGCAAATTCCTTCTTCAAAACACAGCTGTCTTAAATGAATAGTCCAGAGATGTCATAATGGCATTTTGAACTTGATGCCCAAACTAACCTAAATCCAATAGTAACATTACTGATGGACAGTTTTTCAATATCTAGGTACTAAGATAAAAATATCCTGGACCTCTGAATCATGCAGTTCACAGAGGCCAGTCTCCAAGTCTTGCATGGAAAAATGTAGAATAGAACCAAGGAAATGTTCTGCCATGGCTATGTATTTTTAGAGGGCAGCTTTAGTAACACAGTGTAAAAAAACATACATCTCTCTCATTTGCGCTTGTATGTGTATTCCTATAGGCATCAATTTCATGCATTACATGCAACACTTCCAAGTACTGCCTGAATACATGAGAAAATCTCACGTGGTCAAAAATATCTGCAGTGCACAAGTAGTTCACAAGTTATGCCTATCATTTAAAATCTGTCACAAATCTTTTGGCTGCTAATTAGCATACAGTATCTGTTTGAAATCAGCAAATGGGCAAGAGTAGGATAAAAATGAGTCTACCATAATAAAGCTTAATCCCTGGATTTATAGCCACATATACAAAAATCCATAAGGAATATGCAAATAGTTGACCTTAATTTTATTTGACTTCTGACTGTGTGGGCCCTTGATTAGGAACTTCCACTTCCAATTAAGTAGATTTTTTTTATTGTGGTACTGCTGACTTGATCCAAACACATTTTTATGGCCCATTTGAATGATGTCGTATTTTTCATTCTGAAACCAAATTGCCATTTTATCTGCACTATTGGTTGCCAGGACTGTTCTTACTCATCATAGTTCATCACTGTGTGCTGCCTCTTGTAAAAGAATATGAAGGTAACAGTTACTGAAATCATAGTTCATTCTGCAGAATGCTTGCTTCTCCAACTAACTTGTGTACACCCAGGTGTCTAAGTAACTGCTTTCTTCTTGGTGTCTGTCTAGTATGCTCCTTAACAACCAACTTACAGTTTCATGGTTATTACATTTACAAATCATATTTTTCATCATAGTTCTAAATATCTGTTGTTTTCCTTCTAAGCATCTCTCTTGAATCGTAGCAGACTTCACCAGCAAACTATGAGATCTGCCTGTCTAAGGGTTTACTTTCAGCCCAGCTTCCTAAAACAACCCAAACCTATAGAAAAATTTCTCTCTGACTTCTCCAGATAGGTCTGAGATTAGTCTCCCGTGTGATTTCAGCTTGTGAATGTATAAGTCAGTAATACGGAAAGATGATTCTTCCAGGAGAAACAGCCCAACAGTATCAATTCTTAAAGGATTTCCTCTGTAATTACTTGGAACAGGGCCACTAATTTGCTTAAAAAACATGAACTATTATATTAAGTAGAAAAAATAAATCCTTTTCAAAGCAGTCAGCTGTCTAGGCCAGCACTACCCTTTTTCTAGGACCAAAATAATTTTTGGCTGTATTAATAATACTTGGGATCAACAGAACAGTTTTCTGTCAGGAAAAAATAATTTGTGCAGGGAACAGTGCTGTGCTGGGGGATGTCCCTCGTGGAATTTCTGAAGGGATGAAAAGAATCACAAAACTCATAGGCTTTTTGGAGAAATGCATAATGGATTTTGGCTTCGCCTCATTAAACAGCAGTACATAATAAATTATGTATAAAACCCTCAACTAACACAACAAACATTTTACAACAGAGTAAAAATGGAACAGAGAACAGGAATCAAAATAATCCTATCTTCTTGTTAAATTACATGCTTCTGGAAATCATTCTGGTTGGAATTAATTTGACCAAATGCTTATGTCTTAAAACATAGAGGAACATGCATATGAAAAAGTCATCCAAGGCTCTCTTTATTTCTGTTTTTATAAAGAGAAGTTAAACACATCTAAGGAGCAGTTTCTTGGATGTCTAAAATATACATGTGAAATAAGTCCGATAAATAATTCCCAGCAGGGGTAGCTTTATCTCCATTGACCATAAAGGGAGTCCAGGTTGACTGGCTCAGATATTGAAGGGTAAACTGTTGGTATCTAACATTGTGCGATGAATCCCAGCCTTAGAGACTGCCGTGATGAGGCTGATATGAAAACATGAAGACCTGAGAATTAATTTACTCTTTATCAAATGACGTTTCTACTGTAAAATTTACCTTGAAGATGCAGTGAACAGCAACACAAGGAACGAACAGAGCACTCTGTCTTGTGAAGGGGACTTCTATTATGATGGCACTTTCTGTAGCTGTCATCTATCTTCTTGTAAAACTGACACTTCACAAGTATGTGCAGTGCAAGAAACAGTAAGAAACTCAGAGAATAACAATGTAAGGCTATATACTTCCTGTGTGGAAGTAAGGGTAAAGGCTTTTGTAAGCATTTTTGAAACCCATTGTCTTACTAGGCAGAGCATGGTAAAGTAGGTTTAAGATTAAGGGCAACTTCTATGTGGGTGGAATGGTTTGTTATACAATGATTAGCATATTTCATGTGGTAATATTAAGTAACACCTTGTAAATCTACAGTGTTTTGCAGTAATATTAAGCCAAGTTATTTCAGAATCTGTGATTTTCCACTAATAAGTCATTATACTATATTCAGTATATTTTCTGAAAAGCAGATGAAAAGATTTATATACACAGTATCATGAGCAACTGAGACCCACAGCAGAAAAAAAATAATCGGAATATTGTCCCATAATGGCTGTAGCACAGTTAGATCATGAACTACTGATGATCAAGTCTCATTTTTTAGCATAAGTAAACAACAAATTAAAAGATTTTTGAGTGGAAGTTCAGAAATAAGAAAAATCCTGTGTATATGCAAAGAGATAATGCATGAGCTACTTCTGTTCACTTGCAAACTTATACTGCATTCTATGTCTTGTAGTTTTATAGGAAGCTACAGGAACAAAAGACATCCTTCTAAAGATAAAGGTTAGAACTGAGACGCACAAGCTTTTTACAGGCACAGGATGGCTCTGTAGGAGACTTGAAAAGAGCTTCTTTAATGACTTAGAGTAATCCAGCAGCTGGACAAAGATGTACTTTAATCATGTTTTGAAAGCTGTGCGAGCAGAGCACAGTGATCTCATTCCTAGGAGTAAATTCAGAACTGAGAGGAGACTAGTGTGAAACCTGTCTGAAGGCACTCTCATTTGAGAACATCTTACTGTAGGAAATTGGACCAATTTTGGGGTGTAAAATACCTGTGTATATACCTCACTCATGGGAAGTGCTTGAACTTACAATACATGTTTTATTTTTGACATCCATGGTCAAAACATGGTGGGGGTTTTTTGTTTGTTTCGTATTGGTGGAAATGAGACAGATATTGCCCAGTGTTTTTCTAGATAAGGAGCTTCAACTGCTGAGATTTTATTCACTTGACTAAAATTGTAAGGTTTAATGAATGGTTTAAGTTGTTGGTGATCTCTGTGCTGTAAAAGGTCAAAGTTAGTGAATATCCTCATGTTTTAACTAGTGCAATCTGATGATATTTCTTAAATTCGAAGCATGGTTCTTTAAGAAATATAATTTAAAATAAGGAAGTTGTTTAAATCCAGTAAGTAATGGTTTTATTGCTAATATATGTTTAAATAAAATAAATTTAAGCCTCCTGAAAATTGCAGTTGATGCAGTTCATGTAATAAAACGTCACATCATGTGTACCAAGGAGTAACATATAAGTGTAGTTTGAATGGGACATGCTGAAAATACTTTCCATGTAAAACTTCATATGAATTTCTAGTGTCTAGTAACTTGCTATTACAATTACACGTTCATATTTTCCTTGGGGTTTTATATAAATATTTTAATTTGACTCAAACAACTAAGCAGTCCATTTTTTTCTTTACATAGCAGATGGTACGTGAACAATACACTACAACAACACCAGGCACTAGCCTAGAGAGGCCGAAGAATGAATATGTCTACAAAATTGGAATTTATGGCTGGAGAAAGCGTTGCCTCTACCTGTTTGTTCTTCTCCTGCTTATCATCCTAGTTGTGAATTTTTCTTTGACAATTTGGATTCTTAAAGTGATGTGGTTTTCCCCAGTAAGTGTCCTCTTTAATGTTCCATTTTTCTCATATTCTCTTCCCTGCCTCACCACTTTGCTTATTTTATATGTACATGAGCTTCTCTGTGTGTAATAGATAGTTCTTTTATGTCCTTCTCAACGGTAATTTTTACTTTGGTTGAAAGTATGTAAGAAATGCCTATCTTTGAACATACTTCCTCATCTTTAATTTCTGTGTTGATGGTAATCTTTAAAATAATGAGGTTGTTGACACCTTACATTGAGGTAAATTCTAACCATTCTAAGAGAATGTATTTTACTGTTGTCTCATAGTGTCTTTTTAATTTGCATTTTATAAATGTATTTGCAGTAGTTTTATCTCATACTGAATTCGTTAGTGTTAAACTGTTGCTGACAGGTACTGTTTTTTCTTAGATTCCTTCTCGTGTTTATCAGCATCTAAAATTTTACAGTTTATTTGCCTTATTAATTACAGCTCAGAGGTAATTATTACTACTTCATGCTTGAGGCTAAGCAGCTATATGATTCAGGAATAAATCTAATAACTTTCTCCTGTCATATATATTTCAATATTTATAATGTAATTTTGTATGTAGTAGATTAAAGGGTAACTTCCAGAAGTCTGCAAGATGTAGCTTTTTAATCATATTGCAATAAAATGCATCAGTGAATATTGAAGCTAATTTGTTTCTAACATGCAATCATGATACAGAGATGATTTGAATAGACTTGTTACAAGAGAAACAATAATAGTAAGATCTGCCCCTGCTACTGAAGAAAGTGTTAAGTTCTCATTATCTATCGTTATTATGCCTCTTTCACTAAATGATGGCCATTTTATCTTCATAGAAGTATTTCTATACTCTAATTTCTCTTACTAGAAATAAAGTAGGTTAAAGTCCTACTTGCTAATATAGTTACTAGTGCTGCCCATCAAGTTTCTTTCACCACGTAAGTTCTTTTTAGCACTGTTACTGTCATACAGAATACAGTGCAGAACATCTTAGATCACATATTTTTCTGTTATGCAGTTCACATGGAAGATGTGCACTTAGCGATTGCACATCATGAATCTCAGAGAACAGAAGTAACTTAAACTGTCTTCTGCGTGGCTCAGGTTTTTATTTTTAAGGAGTTTGAAGAATTATTTTCTGTTAGTTTGGTTTCTTTGTATGAAACTGGATATTTCTTCTCTAATATCAGTCAGGACTGAAAAAAATAGCATCAGAAACTCCACTTCTAAGACCTTCTATCTCGTACTAGTTATCTGTGAGGAAAGCACCATATGTCTTGATCATCCACTGAGGGACAGTGTCCTTCTTCCTTGGCAACAAGAGCAGTGCAGTAACAGCTCAAGTAGTGCCTTGGATTCTTTCACAGGGTGAACTATGAATGACAGGGTAGAAAGGGTTTTCCTAATTCTCTGTTAAAGGATCTGTATTCCTGACATACTTGGTTAAATGGTGACTTAACTGTAATGCCTTCATTAGTCATAGAAATTATCAATACCGTCATTGAACCCTTTTCCTGATGGAATTAAGCATTTATGCCTCCAAGTTTTTGGTTATTGTTTGAAAAAGAAAGATAACAATATATTCTCAGATTTGCATGGTTCTTCAGTTCCAAGCTTGATAAATATTTGCCATTTAGGAAATCACTTGATTCATATATATCTTGGTTTTGCAATTAAACATTCCCATTATTGGGAAGAGTTTAAAAGTAATTGTGAAATATCCTAAGCAGTCATCAGTTATTTGGCAAATATTAGTCTGTCAGCTGTGATAACACTTTTTAAATGTCATAACTGTGTTCTATGTATATTATGGAGAGATTACTTATTATGTTTGATGTTAATAATATGTATTGTATTTTTAGATAATACTTTAAAAACATTCAATAGTAATTGTAAAAAATAATTAAAGTGTTACCAATATTAGAATATTAATAGCTAATAAAATATTAACAACTGTTTCTCTGTAAAATAATGCAAAAAACAAGCTGTATCCGTACTAAGGTTGATAAATATATTTAGAAAAAATATGATAAACATTTTAAAAGGTATTTTTATAGTACAGTTCTGAAGAGAGTTTATGCTCAAAGAAAACCATAACAGTATTGTAGTATGGTTTTTGGTTTTTTTTCTAAGGAAAACGGTTTTGCAGCATAGTGCATAGGGGTTTTGATGCTTTCGTGATAGTTCTGTAGCACAGCCTGCTTATGAGCCCATTCAAAGTTGACAAAATTGTTATTTAGACATCAGAGTGATAAATACTATCAAACAAGCTAAGATTATAAAGAACATGAACCACACATAAATATGCTGCAAAATTAATAGATTTTAATCTCTGGTGAGATTTTGAAGGATGATGAAAGATGGAGACTTTTCTAAACTCCATTGTTTGAGAGGCCTTCAACATTAAATGAACACTACTACATTGAACAAAATTTCATTTCATTTCATAAAATCTACACTAAAAGGGAAAGGGAACAACATGAACAGAGAATATATTCTTTTTCTCATACTGCTTCAATTACATAACATATGAGCATCCCCAAGTTTTGCAGATTGAGTCATATATCGCATATGTCTCATTCTCTTTTTCTTTTTCTCTTCTGGAGTTTGGGGGTACAGGGTCTCAAGTTTTTTGGGCAGCTGAGAAAAGAAAGCATTGGATTCATTATGGTCAAGTGTTTTAGAGAAGACAGATCCAAATAATCATGCTTTGAGCTTGGTGAGTGAGATGAAAAAGTAATTTAAAAAATAGAATTAGTTTTCCATGAAAATTAGAAGGTTTGGAAAAAATTGAGGTTGGGTATTTTCACCTGGACATAGATTTTACATGAAATGGAAATTCCAGATTTTAACATAATGAGCCTTTCTGAGAACTAAAGGGGACTGCTAGTCCTGAGAGTTCAGGAACTACGAATCTTAAGAGATTTGGGGCTGCAACAGGGTGAGGATTGCAGAAGTCCTGTGCACAATTCTGAAGGGTGCAGTAGGACTGAAAGAAGGGAACTCGGATGTCCCTGACATTTGCTGAAAGGACAAGCATGGCAGGATGGAAGCAGTGAAGATTTCTAGAGGGTCTCAGGGATAACTTATGGATAGGACCACAAAGGGTGGCACATAGCTGGACCTGTTACTCATGGGATTCTATGGGAGCCAGATGTGAGTGTAAAGTTACTCATGAAACCTTGCTGGTGTTTAAGGGCAGTACCCTCCAAATACAGGAATGATCTATCCTGCTACTTAGAAAAATAAGTAGTGTGGCTTAGCTAAACATGTTACATGCTCCAATGCAAAGTATTAGAAGAGTTGGAAGAGTTAAGACTTACAAGAGACAAAGGGCAACAAAATGGGCTGCATCCATAGGTGCAGAGAGAATTGTTTGATTCTCCTGCGAAGTCATCCTCTGCCATGTTTGAAAGGTTATAGGGACTGGGGGAACACAAGCGTTGCACTTGTCTTCAATAAAAGAGGTCAAAGGGACAGCCTGGAGAACTGTGGGCTGCTCAGCTTCACTTCATTCCTTGTGAAAATGATGGAGCGAGCACTCTTGGAAGACATTTCAGGGCCTATGAAGGAGAATAAGGTAATGGAGAACATTCAGCATGGATTTACCAAGGGTGAATGATGCCTGATCAACATGATTATCTTCTATGATGAAATAACTGGAATTATAGATGATGGGAGGGCACAAGATGTCATTTACCTTGACTTTACCAAGGCTTTCGATGCTCTCTGACAATGTTCTTGTTCCCTAGTTAGGACATTCAGCCATGCAGGGTGGACAATGAGATAAGTAAAAAACCCGAACTGCATGGTTGGTCAGGTTCAGAAGGTAGTTACTAATAAGTTGTACTCTACATGAAGGCCAGTAATAATTGTTGCAGGGGTCTATCCTGGGACTGGTCCTTTTGAATAACTTTGTCAATGATTTAAAAGAGGTGTCAGAATGCTTGATCACCAAGTTTGCAGATGATACCACTTTGGTGGTACCATTAAATTCTTTCAAGGCTCAGACTGACATTTGGAGCTGAGACTGTCTGGAGGAATGGTCCAACCTTATGAAATTCAAAAAGAATAAATGCAACATCCTGTTCCTGGAAAGGAAGTACCCATGGTTCCAGCTCAGGCTGATTCTGCCTCACTGGAGCGGTGTTACAGCGAAGGCCCTGGGGATTAGTGGGCAGCAAGCAGAGCATGAGCCAGCAGTGACCCTGGCAGCAACAAATGCCAAGGGCTTCCTGGACTGTGTGAGCAGGGGCAGAGCCAGAGACCACGGGAAGTGATTATCTCCCTTTACACAGCACTCATTAGATGCTCATATAATAGAGCCACCAGTTTTGAGCCTCCCAACAGAAGAGGGATACTGACAAATTTTAGTATCATATTTGTTTTCTAGAAGTTGCCTTCTAGTTGACCATCTCATGTTGCCAAGACAGAATGTCTTTTTTCCTATAAATAATATTAGTCTTATTCACTGAAAAACTGATTCTTAATCTTTCTTATGCTTCTGACAAAAAGATAAAGGTTTAGCAGGAAAAAAATACATTCCTATTTTATCTTGTAGTCTTAATTGATTGAAATGACTGTGATTTTAAAATGGTCCGCTGACTCTTAGCTTTCAAGACCATCAGTTATACTAGACTAGACGCTATCACATAAGATGAAAATTTATTTGTCTAGACGCCATCAGATCCTAAAACATTTAACTAGAAAAGTACTGAATATACTGAATGCAAGAATGCTCATTACTCTCCTTGTTCTTTTCCAAATCCTTATTGTGGTATAGACTACAGAATTGGGCATTTCTGTTATTCTAACTGAAACTGCTCTGATTTATGTGGAAAAAATGATTTTTTTATTGAGCTGGAGATAGCACACGCTTTAATTAGAAAATTACAACTCTCCCCTTGGACACAGAAGCTTCTGTTGTAGGTTCTGTCCAATTAATATATGATGAATTTATATGAAGTAGAACAAACTAGAAAAAGAGTAAAAGATTTCCAACA